TCTTAATAACATAAGGAGTTAAAGTTTAATAAATTAAGTCCTATGTTGCCTTAATCCAATGACAAAACAGGGTTGCCTTCGAATTCTTTATCTGTAAAGACTCCATGGCTCTCTTTGTTAAACTGAAATTTTTACTAGAATTTTGTTATCTTTTTTCCCCTAGTGATATTGCTCCTATCCATATAATTTGCTTTTCTAATTTACTTTTCAGATACAGGAAGACTCATAAAACTGACAAAATCAAAGTGGGATTATATGTAAATTAGAAAGATTTTGTCTCTGATGGCTTGGATTCCTTCAGTTTTTCTCTTTAGCCGCTAGATGGCACCTCCACGTGAATTTAAGAACCACCCCATTTAAAAGTTAAACTACCTGGGAACAACTTTTGTCTTCCTTTTGGGTGAATGACATGTTCTATTTTGTGCCATTCCCTGTGGTTTCATTAAGTTTTGTATGTCTCAAACTCTGAACTCTTGGAGATCAGGAATCATCTCTCTTACTACTTTGATGTAATAGTCAGGCACAGGGTTATATATATCACAGATGCTCAATAAATGACAGTTCATTAATTGCTTGCTCAGTATTTAAGAAACAGTATAACACCTATGTCTGAGTTGTAAATAGAGGAGAGGCCATCAATTACACTGATGATCAGGACATGGTGCTATTCAACTTTGCTCCCCTTGTCTAGAGCAGTCAACCATATCTACATAAATGTGACTGTCATATAAATTGTTATAGAATTTATTCTTTAAAGTATTTACTATGTTTCAAATAAATTAATACGGCACTTAATATGGTGCTCTGACCCTTTATTAAGGGGAGGACAAATACATTTTGAACCATCTGCACTCCTTCATTCAATTTCAGATGTTTCAAAATAGGTTGTTTCAGGTTTGATCGATTTGGAAACCTGAGAATTCAACAGATTAGAATTGCTTTTCTCTCTTTTTCTATTTCTCTTNGCACGGGCACTTCTCCCCATCCCCATACAAACAATGAAAACGAAACAAGCTACCAAAACCAAAAAGTCCTAGTCCTTACTAAAGCAATTGAGAAGTAACACTTAGGGATTAAGGGCTTAAAATAGTCACTTCATAGACTGTCTAAGCCATGTCTGTGCCCTTGTTAACTAATCTGCTAATCGGGTAAACACAGCTTCTGTGTGGCACAGCATTCTATGTCTTTAAATGCCTCTACATTCATCTCTCCAGTACCACTGAGTTCAGAGTTGGGGCCATGTAATTAGGTTTCTTGAAAGGCAAAATTTTGCTGAAAATGCAATACGTCCTGCAGAACTTATAAGCAATATCACCTTGTGCACCATGAGTCACAAAGCTCTAAATCATAGGTTCATTTAAGCTATTATATACTCTGCCTACCAGTCCTGAACCAGACTAAGAAGTCAGCACAGTGTCTCTCCCTTTCCTCTGTACATTTCCTCTTCAACCACTTTTAGGCACCCAGTTCCTTGTGTTTTTTCCCCTTCTTTTGTCCAGCAGTTTAGTGTTTTCCGAAAATTACCTGAAACTCATTCAAACCAAGATAATCAATAAAGAATAACACTTAATTACCCTTTCCAGAGGATTTTTTTCCTCATTTTAACAAGGACCAAAGTCTTAAGCTTTATTTATTTTATTTACTTTTTTAAATCTCTCTTTTCTGTTGTCTAGGGATGGCAAGTTATTTTCTAGGACACCAGGGTTTTCCCAGTGATTGTGCAGCCACATTGAATGTGCTTCATTTACAGGGACTACACCCAGCTGTCATCACCCACAGCACTATAGCTGCTCCCAGGCCATATGGATGAGGCATCCTGAGCCCCACTTCACCTCAAAACCAGTGACATGTGGGCTAAGCGTTGGGATCTCCCATGTTATCTCAGAAGACTACTGAGAGGGGTGTACGTAACAAAACTGGCTTCTGCCCAGAATGTTCATTTGAATACAAACACCACATCTGATAAATAATTGGGATCTCCCATGTTATCTCAGACGACTACTGAGAGGGGTAACAAAACTGGCTTCTGCCCAGAATGTTCATTTGAATACAAACACCACATCTGATAAATAGCCTTATCCATAATATTCATTCCTCTGGTGCCTGCCTTTGGAGCAATCTTCCTCTATAATCATCATCATCATCATCACGACAATACTACTAGCAACTATAATAAATGCAGACTGTGTCATAGTTTCAGGACAAAAGGCTTCATACATAACATTTTCTCCCTATGAGGTTGGGAGCTTTTCTTTCTACTTACATAACTACCCACCACCTTCAAGGGCCTTGAGTACTGCCCCTATTGTGGTCAGAACTGGGGGACAGGAATGACTCAAGGATACTTTTACAAAAGTTATGAAAATGTGCCAAATGTGGTGGCCAATTCTAGAAAGGTTCACCAACCACCACCAGGTCAGTGTAGAGTCAGAGGAGAGAAACAGCCTAGCCTAGAAAGTCAGGTCCCACCCATGAGGAAACCAGACACTGTGGGAGAAAGGTGGGTGGGCTTGGGGGCTGAGCAGGGCTCTCTCCCTGGGCTGGTCATTTCCTACTGGCTGGGGAAGGCAAGGCAGTGTCTTGCTGGTGATCTCTCCTTCCTCTTTCAGGGCCCCAGCCACTAAACACCTTCAGAAGTGATCTCAGCTCCTTGAGTTCACTGGGGCAGTTTTTTTGGGGGGAAGGTCAGGACAGGCAGTAAGATATTAGCAATAACAAGAAGCCTCGTGTGTGTTAAGGTGTTTGTACTTTTCAGAGTGCTTTCACAGCACTATCTCCTTTTATAATGACCCTGTGAAACAGGCTGGGAAAGTATTATCTCCATTTTAGAGAATGGGAAACAGGTCTTGGGGTTTCCTGAGAAGAAATCCTAGAAGATGAGAGGGGGTGGCAGAGTTTGGGGTGGTAAAGAGTTGCCACAGGAGCTGTGACTTGAAAACAACGGGGACTCTAGGCACTGCAGAGAGCTGAGGTCATAGGGGGGAATCTGGGCCCTGAAGGGCACAGCCAGGGATGCACTAGTCAGCGGCCGCAGTGGTGTTTACTCACACCAGGCCTGCCGGGGCCCTTCTCCTGGCATTCGTCCCTCCCTGGTGCTGGTTATTGCTCATGGTGTCTCTTCTTCCCATCTTCCTCCTCCCGCCTGCTGACCGTCAGGCCCCCACGTTCCCAGAGGCAGGGCCATGGGGGAATCAGGGGACGTGGTGTGGTGTGAATACTCCCTCCCATGATAACCCCCGCCTCTTCCTCACCTGCTAAACCCTCGACTTGAGCTGAGAACCAGACACAACATGCCTACATGTCTTAGGGGCTCTTTCGACAGCTTTTGTAAAGGTGAGAATAGGGCTGACATTGAACAATGTCCAGCCCAGATCCTACCCTCTCATCCACTACAACATCCCCTGAGAGAATTTCCGGTGAGGCCCGGTGTTAGGGCTTGGCTTACCTCCCTTCCCTAAAAGCCTTCCAAACAAGGCTAACAACGGGCAGAGTGGGGTCTCACACAAGAGGGGCAAAGGCTGAGGGGAAAGCTCAGTCAGTGATGGAAGAGGTCAAGGAGAAGCCGTCCAGCTGCGGGTCAGGTCCCAGGCCAGAACCTGATGCTCCCTGCTGCCCTCTGGGTTGGAGTACCGAAAGAACTCTCTAGACCCTTGTCTCTGGGGCAGAGCTGCCCTGGAAATCTCAGGAGCCTGACACACGTGAGGAGAAATGCGTACACACCACAATGATGACAACAGTCATCCACCCGAACAGCTCTGCAGCAGACACTGATGCTGGGTCAATGGGAGACCACAAATATGGCACTAGGAACCTCAGCAGAGAACTGATGGAATGGAACAGTGACACAGGCCCACAACCCTGTCCGTGGCAGGACAGCATGGATGCCCCAGTCCCATACCTCTACAACTACACCCACGCAGGAAAGACTCACCCTGCCCACACACACACTCTTGGACCCCCACCTGTCATCGCAGTAGGTGAACTTCATGTCCATGCTGTGGCGGCTCAGGAAGGTCTTGCTGTCCAGGGGGATGTCCATGTGGGACGGATGCTGGATCGGCTCACACATGATGATGAGGCAGGAGAGCAGGGGCTCTTTGTAGCCGCAGAGACCACCATGTGGAGGGCAGTTGTTGTAGACCTTCACCTGGCCAGTGCAGTGCAAGACCTAGAGACCAGCAACGAAGGGTTAGACGGAGGCCGGGAGCACTGGGGATGGGGGCAGGGCTTAGAGCATCTCCCTGCCCAACCCTGGGACTCCAACCCAGGCGTCATGTTGTCCTACCTTCCAGGTGGCTGCAGACGGAGGCCGGGAGCACTGGGGATGGGGGCAGGGCTTAGGGCACCTCCCTGCCCAACCCTGGGACTCCAACCCAGGCGTCATGTTGTCCTACCTTCCAGGTGGCTGACTTGAGGTTGACAGTTCGTCCTCTGTTGGTGACCGTGCACTTCATCCTCATGAAGAAGTCCCGCTCTGTGGACATGTCTTTGCTTTTCCTTCCCAAACCAGAACCTGGATGGGAAGAGTGGGGAAAACCAGCTGAATTTAGTTTTACATTTACATTCACAAAAGGCACCTCGTTGCAGATTTTCTGGGCAAGTTATCTGTATTTCCAAAGTGCTACGGAAATGTGGCTTGTCCCCACCAAGACTCATGTGGAGGCTTGGTCCCCAATGTGGCAGTGTTGGGAGGTGGTGCCTTTAAGGGATGATTAGGTCATTAAGATGGATTAATGTCTTTCAGAAGAAACTGGGTTAGTTCTCACAGGAATGTTTTTCTCTTTCTCACGCACCCAGTTCTTCTTCTGTTTCTCCCTATGTTTTCATGTAGCACAAGGCCCTCACCAGAAGCCACCAGATGCGGCCACTCAATCTTGAACCTCCCAGCCTGCAGAATCACGAGCTGAACAGACCTCTTTTCTTTATAAATTACCTAGTCTCAGGTATTCAGTCACAGCAACAGAAAATGAACTAAGACACCATGTATCTGCTCTCTTAGCACCTGTAGCCTGCCATGAACACTGAACTCCATCTTGGCGTGTGGAATGATGGTTTCTCATCTCCAGCTTGTCTCTTCAACTGGAGCATAAACTCCTGAAAGGTAGGAGCTATTCCACTGTTTGATTTCCCACTGAACCTAGCACATGTCAGTGCTCGCTTCAGCGCGGCCAGGCAATGAGTGACTTTTAGCCACAATCACAACAAACCTCTCCTGAAGCAGGCTTAGGTTCTCTAGCAGAAATGCCAAAGGACAGTCTGGGCGAGACCACAGATACTCCAAGGCTATAAGCCTCTCAGGTTAGAAATGTCCCTCCAACACTCCTTTTTTTTTCTAACCTGTCTCTCAGGAGTTTCAACCCTCCTGTACCCTATTTGTAACTGCAATAGCTATGTTCGGAATAACATGCCATTAGTTATCCCCTGAAGTGACATGTGTCAAGGCTCAAGAGAGATCTCTGGTCTGAATCTCCTGGGATTTGGTAAGCACACCCACTTTGAGGATTAACTTAACACAGATCACAACCTCTCTCAGCCAAGATTAAATAAATCACTGAGACAACAATATAGGTTCCTTCCTTATAGTCTCCAAATAGCCTGCCCATTCAGAACGTTTTCCACTTTCTGTAAAACAAAGTACTGAATGCAGTACTGGCTTAGTTCTTCTCTGTGTCTGAATTCTGCCCACATTGCCACTCCTGTCCTGGGCCTTCCAAAGTACACTCCTGCCTACCATCACAGAATAATCTGGAGCCTTTTTCAAGTAGTCACACCCCTCCCTCCAGGCAGTCCCTAGCCTCTGCACCTAAACTTCCAGAGGACCTTGATTTATTTGACTGACATATTCCTGAAGAGCTGTGTGTCAAAGGAACTGTGGCATCCTTGAACTGAACTTAAACATCTTTAGGGGGAGGATGTTTAATAAACCGAATGGTGAATCTACTTTTTTTTTTTTTAAAGATTCCTTTATCATGATCATAAAACTGTCTATCCCATCTGACCCATAAATAATTGTTTTTTATAATTTTAATGTTCACAGGTGGGATTTGCATATAATGAGACAGACGTGTATCTTGGGGCCTGGACCCATCACCAGGACCAGCACAAGTGTTGGGGCTGAGAGGGCGGGAGGGACTCATTTGTGGCTGTTTGCTTGGGTTATTATTGTGGCCTCCTAACTTGATAACTTCTGGATTCTTCCTATTCTGACATTTGATTATTCTCTCTAAATATCACTCCAAGCAGATCACCCCACCCCTGCTCAAAAACCTTCAATAGCTCCTACTATGTAAGTATAAAGTTTGAGGCCCTCCACCCAGCCTTCAAAGGCTTCCACAATCTGTCTTGTAGCCTTATATTCCTCTATGAACTCACCTAACCCTTTACCTCTGGATCATGAGTCCACCCACAGGCTGGCACCTTTAATGAGGATTTGCTGATTCATTGAGTTTGACTGATCCCAAGTCCTCAATATAAGGACAAAGAGATCTAAAGTTCTACTAGATAAAAGAGGTCACTTGGCTGTAACTCATAGCACTGGAGAGCTGGAAGGTCCTAGACTTTGCCTAGTCCAATACTATCAATCTGAAAGACTCTAAGGAACAGAGGAGTGAAGTACTTGGTTCAGGTCACACAGTCAAACTGAAGCTATGGTCAGTGGTTGAACGGACACTAAGAACCCAAGGGATAAAGGGTTTCCCGAGTAGAGAAGAAATGAGAGACTTCTTGGTTTCCTCAGGCTTTAAGCACCTACTTTAGAAAGTGATCCAAAAATTCTGGTAGCCCCATCCTCACAGACTCCAATGTTCTATGGACACTAAGAACCCAAGGGATAAAGGGTTTCCCGAGTAGAGAAGAAATGAGAGACTTCTTGGTTTCCTCAGGCTTTAAGCGCCTACTTTAGAAAGTGATCCAAAAATTCTGGTAGCCCCATCCTCACAGACTCCAATGTTCTATACAGCACAGACTTTCTCAGCAGCACAGACAAGGCCTTAAACAGCACATGGGGTGCAGCTGGTGCACTCTAGGAGCCAGGTGGCCTTCAGGTGGGAGGGTGGAGAGGCTGGGTGAGAGGGCAGTGGCAGCAGTGGAAGGGGAGCTGGTTGTTCCTCTACACTTTGCAGGCCCACCTGTGGGTTGCAGGTCAGTGTGAACAAGGGTGGAGGGGAGCCAATGAACTGCCTTGCTTCTGCAGTGCGTGTGATAACAAGAGCCAAACCTTGCAGGCAGGACAAGCACAAGCCCCGTGGCAGTGGCAGGCTGGCAGGTGAGAGATGTTAAAGAGGATGTCCAGACATAGGCAGAATTTGCCCAGACCAGGGACAGAATCTCAGGTTTAGAAGAGACTTTGACAGTCATTGAGCCCCACGGCTGCCCAAACCTTCGGTCCTCTTGACATGTCCCCATTCATGCCTTTGCTTGAATATCCCCAGTTACAGGAGATGAAGCTCCAGTGTCACTGCAAAGTGCTTTCTGCCTGTGTGGATCCTCTCATCCACTGGCATCTGCTGGATAGCCTCAGAGGAAGGGTCCAATGCACTAGACCCTTTTAAATTCTGTCAAAACCTACCTGTCCTATGTCACATCACCAGAGGGCCAGATTTGTTCTACGGCTCCTGTGGTAGCTACTCTCCAAAGGTGGCCCCAGAGAGCCCTGCCTCTGACACTCATGGCCTCGTGTGGTTCCCTCCCACACTGAATCAGGGCTGGCCTGTCACTTGCTCTACCCAACAAAACGGGGCAAAAGCGATGCTGTGTCAATTTTGGGACTAAGCCTTGGAAAGGCCTGGCAGCTTCCACTTTTGCACTTTTGGAAACCCTAAGCTGCTATGTAGGATGTCTGGCTACTGTAGAGACACCATGTGGAGAGGAACAGGCTCTGAGACTCCATGGACTGAGAGAGAAGTCCAGCCATTCCCGCTGAGCCCAGGGTTCCTGCCACCTGCCACAAGGTCCCAGCCATCTTGATCATCCCTGCCTAGTCCAGCCCCCAGATGACTACAGCCCAGTTGACATCACCTGGAGCAGAAGACCCACCCACAGGACCCACAGAATCCTGAGAGATATGAAAATGATTGTTGAAGCCCTACATTTCGTGTGGTTTGTTACATAGCAATAGACAACTACAATTTCTTGAGCACTGTGGCACAGATGAGTTTACTGGTTTGGGTGGAATCATTTGGCAGAGATGCTTGACTCTCAAATGACGAAACCTCCTAGATAGATAGTATCCTAACCAAAGGGGGGCCCTAGTAGTGTGATCAGGCAGCAATAGACAACTACAATTCCTTGAGCACTGTGGCACAGATGAGTTTACTGGTTTGGGTGGCATCATTTGGCAGAGATGCTTGACTCTCAAGTGACGAAACCTCCTAGATAGATAGTATCCTAACCAAAGGGGGGCCCTAGTAGTGTGATCAGGCATTAGGCAGCCAGCAGGAAGTATTTCTGAGCACAGGATCCTTTCGGTGCCTTCAGTCTCATCTCACAGGCTGCAGCTTATACAGAGGACCAGCCCGGCTAGATATTTTTATGGATGTCCGTTTTTCCTGGATCGTAATTGTCATGAGCCATCTCTCCTGTACTTGTAGAGGAAGGCAGATCCCCTCCCAGTTGGGGCAAGAAGGACGTAAACACACAATTAACAACACTTTACCATTTTTGAGACTCAGGTTCTCACGGATCTCCTCGTGGTCACAGGGATGAGTGAAGTCAAAGATACTGTGTCCTGTTAGCTCCACCTGTTTAAAAAATGAGGGAAGGTTTCATGACTCCTAACATGGAGGTAAAAGGATCTAAGAGGAAGCTGAGCCACCTTCCAGATTTGGAGGCAGAGAGGAAATTGAATCAGGGCTTCTCAGTGTTAGGTCCACAGACAGACAGATGTAAGAAGACTACTGCTGATGACAGAGACTTAATTCATGAGGGCCGGCTTGTTAATGGAGTCAGCAGAGAGCTGTCCATCAGCACAGCCACAAGCAATGCCAAACCCAATACCTGGGAGTGGGAGTGTGTTCCTGAGGCTTGTGGCCTGAGGTCACTGAGGGTTGGAGTGGGCATGTGCGGGGAGGGGTCAAGAGGGATTGTGCCTAGCACCTTCCCCTAATTTCACCCCCAAATAAAAACATGCTCCCTTTTTGAAAGACAAAGAGGATGGTGTCACCTGAGTGAGTCCCATGAACTTGCTGATGTTTTCGGACAGAAAGATCATGTCACCATCTTGGGTCACCACAGCAATGAAACCCTCCAAGGCTTTCAGGTACAAGTTGTCCATCTGCTGGTCAGCCTCAGCCTCAGACTCATTTTCAGAGCAGACTGGAAAGAGAGGGGGTTGGATAGCTTGTATGAATGTGGTGTTAAAACATGCATGACTGGCATGGACAGATGTCTGCAGGGATGGCTCAAAAGCATCAGGCGGACTTTTCTGGAAAAGCACACGGCTGACCATCTAAGTGTCTGCCACACGCCCAAGCAGTGAGCCCTGGATGTGCCCGACTACACAGAGGACACCTTAGCAGGGGCTTTGCAGACAGTGTGGTTGTAATGACCACAGTAACTGTGGTACTAGTGGTAACGGCAGCAGTAGTAGTCATAGATATAATGGTAGTCATAATAGCAGTAGGAACAAAAATCTTAGCTGCTAATGTCTATCGAGCAATTACTACATGCCAGGTACTGCACTAAGCATGCTACAGAGCCTTCACAATGACCTACAAGGTAGGTACTATTCTTAGTCTCATTTTACAGATGAGGCTTAGAGAAGTTAAGCTGTTTGCCTAAGGGTGGAAAGGCTGGAAACCTAGCAAGCCCTGGCAGCTGAGCCCAGAAGCCACACTCA